CCTTGCAGTTAGCAGCCTAGCTTGTAACCCACTACACTACTAGGGTTCCTTGGGTCTCCCATCTAGAGATTGAGAAATGTGAGTTTAATGTTTACTAGTTTTGTTGTTCTTAAGTGCCGTAGAATTAGTTCTGACTCAAAATGACCCTTTGTAGGGTTTCCAAGGCTGTAAATCTCTGCAGAAGCAGAAAGCCTTATATTTCGCCTGTGAAGTGGCTGGTGTGTTTGAATTGCTAATTTTGTGGTTCACAGTCCAGTGTTTCTTGTAGAGAGCCACGATGCTGCCCACTCATAGCTTTGTTGTTGTTGTTGTTAAGTGCCGTGGAGTCAGTTCCAACTCATAGCGATCCTGTACAGGGTTTCCGAGGCCGTATATCTTTATGGGAGCAGAAAGCCTCATCTTTATCCCGCAGAACAGCTGGTAGTTTCGAACTGCTGAGCTTGCTGTTCGCAGCCAGATTCGTAACCACTCATATGCTACCAGCACTCATAGCTTTACTTCCTTGCAAATGCTAATATATACAGTTAGGGGTGCATTATTAAGCTATATTACTTGATTTATGTATGTATTGGAACCTCAAGGTTTATTCAGAATTCATTTGCATCCTGATAATCATCTGTAGACAACAAATCCTACATCTGCTATAAAACATCCAAAACCCAAAGTCCACAAATTCTATTATAGTCCGTTATCCCAAAATGTTTTACAAAGTTAAAACACAAATAGTTAATATTTTTGTTTTTGTTATTTTGTGTTTATTTTTGCTTCTGTAACTTGAAACTATGTGTCAGAACAGCATGATTTTTCACTTTAGAAAACCCTTTAGCTTGCAAGTTTATGAATCAATACAGTAAATGACTATATTCCATCAAATTAAATATTATAGTAGAAATATTTTGGTATTTTCAAACCTCCGATGTGGTAAGTTTCTGAGATTCAGTCCTATAGATTCCAATGGGAACATCTCCTGTAGAAGAACATAACTTCTGATAAAGTCTGGCGTAAGTTCTGATCCATAAATCTTCTTCAGTGATTTTCATCTACAATACACAAAGATTATGAATATATTAAATTTTTAGCAAAAGAAATCCTAGAGAGTTTTTATTTCTTAAAGGCAAAAATTACTAGTTTGAAATCTCAAAATGCCATAAGTGCTTACACATGTCCTAAGCTTATTTATTACACTCTACCTCAATTATCTCCATGGATCATGCAAATTTAAGAAAACCAAGTACTCAATTTGTGGCAGTAGAACATTGTATGTGCTCAGTATCTGTAGGTAACAGGGCACTGGTAATCAGTTGGAAGATGTTGGAAAACATGTGGAGAATCTTTTAATGTTGTATTAACTGAAGGCTGCAAGAGGTAATTAATGGGCCAAAGATGCGTAACAATCTTAAAATGCAAGAGACACTCAAACACATGCAAAAAAGAAGGAAAATATATAGTAACTGAGCACAGAGCTCAAAGATAGGAGACATGAGTTCTAACCCCTCTTTGTCACTCACAAATTTGAACTGTCAGCAAGTCATTTTATTAAGCACCTTTAGACATAGTACACTCCTCTACAAAACAATGGGGTTAAATGGCCTGATTTGTTTTCTTGGGCAAGCCAGGTAGATGAAACTTGTTCTGAATTTTATATAGAATAGCTATTTGTCATAATTATTACTTTAAAATAAAAATTTGCTTTACTTCCTTGCAAATAAAAATTTGCCTGAAATTAAAAAAAAAAAATTAAACTAAAACTCAAATTCTATCTTTGTGGCTTATATTACAAAAACTATAGAGCATAGAGAGTTAGCCAAAGTACCGTATTATTGGATTTCAAAGCCTTTTATTGTAACAACCTTTTAATCCAGTGAAAATTAACTTACAGAACAAAGAAACCCGGATCCTGGTATAGTGTCCAGTCCCAACAGAAGTCTGGTGATAGAAATCATGTAATCCTTCACAAAA